TCTTCTTCTTCTTCTTCTTCTTCTTCTTCTTCTTCTTCTTCTTCTTCTTCTTCTTCTTCTTCTTCTTCTTCTTCTTCTTCTATCCCGTGGTTGTAGCACCACTGCATCTGACAACCAGCTCTCGCTTTTACAGCTAACCTAATTTACTATCTATCATAAAAACCTATCACTTCCTATTTGAATACAAAGCATTTTCCCCAAGACTACTGGTACTGAATGAATTGCAGATGTGCTGAAAGCGCATCCTATACTACTATAACAGTGTAGTGATACAAGTTCTAAGTATCCGAATACAGATCTGTATAGAACTACATCATGTACATTTAGAAAGGGGGCGTCATGCCTTCTTACAAAAACTATTAATATAAGTATACGCTGTGTTGAATTCCTCCTAGGTCCAATGTCTCTAGTAGTATATCTGTTAGTCTATATTATGTTTTGTTGGTGAACAGAGGAAAGGGTGGGGGAGGGGGGGTGTAAAATTTCATCTTACTTATCTTTCCCCCTGGACACAAGAACGGCAGACGTCAGTTCTGGGGACTGGCCACATGACATGTCAGCGAACAATCCCGAGATGCTTCCTGTGACGTCATTTCTAAAAAGTTTCCACGCCGGTTCGTTCTCCCGTGGACACATGATGACAGCTTTGCAGCGAGCGATACGAGCGGAAGAGAAAAAATCGTCTCCATCTGCCAGAAGTATCTGGGGGTTTTTGGGTGGAAGAGGGTGGAGGGGGGAAGGGGGAGAAGAGAGTATGAAATGCTCATAAAGGTTGAAGTAAGACAACTTTCGAAATTTGGTAACTATCTTGAGACATGACGAGTAATGATGATGATGATGATGATGATGAGCCTTATTGGCGAAACGTTGAACTGTGAAATATATATTTTTTTGGGAAATACAACAAGGTCTTAACTGTTTTAATACCTTCTTTATACAATGATGATGATGATGATGATGATGATGATGATGATGATGATGATGATGATGATCCAAAAACCTCACTTGTCCGTTTAGCGCCGTGCAACCCGCGAACATAATTCCTAGGTCTGTAATAAGTCGCTCTGGAGAATTTGGTAAAGTATTGGCGATGACATCATACCGCTGGAATCCTTGCTGGTGTAGCATCCAAGCAAAACGACTTGCGAGATCGTACACCTGTTTGGATGTGAAGGCTGAGCGTTCTGTACTGGTGTAGAAGACAAACATTTCATTGTCTGGATAATTCTCACTGAAATAGTGAAGTCTCAGTGGTATAGTTCTCAAATGAGCTACGCTGGGGCTGTTGCCCATTTCTAACCAGATTTGTAATACGGCCGGTGATAACTAGTTGTCAATTCCTGGCTAGAATGGTTGACGTCTTCTGAATCTGAAATAGATTACAAAATATAGGCTTATTATATTTTATCATGCCATCTTAACGTAGTTTTTCAGAAAGTCTTAATATAATCCTTCAGACCGTTTGTGATGAAATAGGGTGGGCTCTTAGATGTGCAGGCAACAGCAATAACAACAACAACAACAACAACAACAACAACAACAACAACAACAACTTCAGAACTGACTTGGGAACAACAATATTACAGAACATTGCCCACTTCTTCTTTTCCATCTGTTCCCTCAACAATACAGTACCAATGGTTGAAGAGTCCAGGTGTTTTTTTTGCCAGGGAATAGGCTCCACCCCTCTTTCTGATTCTTGCAGTTCACCCTTATCGCTTTGAATTCAACAACTTAAAAAAATGTTCTCTCACCTGATTTAAACTTCAACTCCAGGATCAATAAATTTTAAAAAATCATAGCCGCCCTACTTTGAACATGTAAGCATCAAAATCCTTATAGCTATATTATTTTTAGAATTTTTTTTTAAAAGTACGGTACTTTCATCTTCATCACTCCTTGTTGCATATAAATTAGATATAAACAAGAAACACGAATTTCGTCCAGTGTGGTGACTGCGTAGATCACCACGCTCCAATTTTGAAATATTTCATTCTGTGTTGAGGCGCCATAATGTTTCAACAACAATAAGAAACACAATCGGGCTTACCTAGAAGGATCCAAGTTCAAGAAGAAAACTCAGGGCTTGGCTTGTGTCTTTCTCATTGAAAAGGATGTTCTGAAGAAGGCCTGGTTCATGGCTGCTATGATGAAGCATGTGCAGGCCAATATAGTTGGAATTATTTTCAAGGTTTTGCAGCCTATATCTAATCCATTGTATTAAATTTAAAGCATGCCGATACACAAGAGACAGTCAGAGAGAGAAGGGGGTGGGGGTGGGGGTGGGGGGGAGTAAGGAGAGTAAGGGAGAAGGTAAAAAGAATG